GGAATGCTTCCCATGGGAAAATAAAGGTCTGGGTGGGATCAGGGCGGGAAGGGGTGAAAACACGCAGCTAACGGGCAGGTCCCTGGGCCCAGCAGCGGCTCGGCGGTGTTGGCGTTCCGGCGTCGGGGAGTCGCTAATAAAAACGTGACTTCCCCGAGCAGCACCCAGGGCTCCTCTGAAGGCCCCAGAGGGTGGGGGTGCCCGCCGCCTCCAGCACCCCTCGCACAGACCTGCCGCTCGTCAGCGGAGCTCCCTGCCAGCCCTGCCGTGTAGGCAGTGGAAGTCTGGGGAAACGCATCAAAGCAGCATTTTGTGGGCCATAGCCTGGGCAGGGGAGGTGCTGGCAGCACTCGCTCCCGGCTTTGACGCTGCAGCAGAAGGGAGCCCGAGCTCTCCTCCCCACTCCCTGCTGCCCGTTCCCACTCAGGAGCCTGAAGCTGCCTGCCAGCAGTGTTATGGCTCTGCAGTTTCCATCCCAGCAGCAGCCGGGAGGGGGTGGCACCTCATGCCCCCGCATGTGCTCCACTCATCCCACCACCGCGTCAGAATCCAGGGGCCGGGACTCTGCAGCCCACCGGTGACCCTGTGAGTGTACAGTGAACACCAGTACAGCCAGGCAGCTGCCTGCTCCCCAGCTGCCCTGCCGATGCGCCTGGGTGGGCTGGGGATGCTCGGCCACCCCGCTCCTGGGCTGCTCTTACACCTGGCAGCAGCAGCCCCTAACCTTGCAGGGCCTCCCCGGGACCGGCCATGAACGTAAAACAAAACAAACAGCCAGAAGACAAGGTTAAAAAAATGTTGCTGAGGCAGCCCAGCCCATCGGTGGATTCGCGGGGCGTTTGCGTTTCCTATCAGGAAATGTATTGGTGCATTATGGTTTCTGGCACGTGGTGCCGTGCATTAGAATGTGCAAATGATAACAAAAAGGGGTATTTTTGTCTCTCTTTTTTTTTTAGCCTATCGTGATTCAGCAGAAAAGTTGAAGTCTGTGAATTCAGCAGAAATTCAGGTGCTTTCAGTGTGCTGTGGGTCGGGCAGCCGGAGCTTTCCGTATTACAGGAGAGCAAGCGTGGCGAGCTGCTTTGGCTGGGCTCGGCTGCACCCAGCTGCACCCAGCTCCCTGGTTCCTCCTCTGGAGATATGTAAGGTTAGATGGGAGCTGTAGAGTCCCAGCTGGGTCTCCCCACAAAACCTCCCAGAGAGGTTTCCTACCCCACCTCCAACCCAAGGGATCTGCACAGATAAGACACCTCTCATCCAGGTGTTCCTAGAAAATGGCGAGCTGCTTGGGCTGGGCTCGGCTGCACCCAGCTGCACCCAGCTCCCTGGTTCCTCCTCTGGAGATATGTAAGGTTAGATGGGAGCTGTAGAGTCCCAGCTGGGTCTCCCCACAAAATTTCCCAGAGAGGTTTCCTACCCCACCTCCAACCCAAGGGATCTGCACAGATAAGACACCTCTCATCCAGGTGTTCCTAGAAAAAATAAAAGAGGACAAATCAGCTTGAGTCAGATCCCTCAGCAGATCCCTGAGATCTCCTGGGCATCACCTGGTGTGGAGAACTGACCCCAGACGGCTCGATTCCCCAAAAGAGCAAAGCAATGCCGTGGTTCTCCTCGGGCAGTACGAGGAGCCATGCTGTGCTCCCTGGAGGAGCACACTGCAGGGCCTGCGGTTGCAAAGCGTGTTTGTTCTGTGTAAATAATCCTGTCCTCAAGCGGATCCTCACATCGGAGGACGTTTATTTCACAGCGTGCATCATAACTCGCAGCTCTGTGTGCTGCCAGGGGCGCACAGAACGAGTTTCTTCCCTGGGTGCAGCACGTGTAAGCATGCAGTGGCACGATGGCAGTTATGGTTCTGAGAGTGACCAGCCTCTACAGCCAGTGAACGAGGGGAAGAAGCCATTTATTTATCTATTTGTGTATCTGTCCCCTTTCCACGGCTGTACTGAGTGCGCGGAGGAGTCCCTGGCCCAATGTGATTGCAAATGAGCTTGGGGTTGGCCAGGCAAATGGGGATGTGGGGTTCCCCAGGAGGGCACCGACGGCGGGAGGGAGCAGCCCCGGCTGCCCAGCCCCTGCACATCCTGCTGCGGGATGGACTCGCGCTTACGGTTATGGTTGTGCCTCAGGTGCCCCAGGGGTGTCCCAGAAACAGAGCTCCTCGCCTATGTACAGCCCATGGCAAAGCACCATGCTTAGTCTTCCAGACAAATGGAGGCAGCTGCTTCTGGCACCCACCTTTTTCAGACCCTGCCCATCCCTCCTGTCGGGGGGTGGCCGGGTGACTGCTCTGGGGGAGGCCCTGCCTGCTGCCATCCTTCCCTCGGCATGCCGTGGGCACTGCGCAGCCTCGGAGCACGCTGTAAATAGTCGGAAGCGATGAATGGATTTCCCCTTCCTCTCCATGTGTGCTTTAGATTTTTGGCCGGATACGGCATGGCCTCGGGACACACCAAAACATGAGGCTCGCTCCCCGGCAGCCCCGGCTTTCACGTGGGAACAGTTTGATTTGTGAAGCAGTGTGAGGTTTGGCGAGTGAAGCTGATGGTGGTTTCCTGGGGAATGCCTTTCATTTCCCAGGCAAAGAGCCCGGACCCCACCAGAGGCTGGGGCAGCCTCAGAGCAGGGCTGGGTGTGGGACCCCCTGGGTCCGGGGGGACAGCGGGGCT